AGAAGCCCTACGGCGTGAGGTTAGAAGCCCTACGGCGTGAGGTTAGAAGCCCTACGGTGTGATGCCGGTGTGTGATGCGAGGTGGAGGGATTGATGTCGAGGTGGAAGGATTGACGCAGAGGCAGATAGGTTGACGCAGAGGCAGATAGGTTGACGCATAGGCGGAGGGATTGACGCATAGGCGGAGGGATTGACGCATAGGCGGAGGGATTGACGCAGAGGGCGAGATGGAGGAATTGATCTGAGAGGTGGAGGGAATGACAATTAGGTGGAGGGATTAAAGTCGAGGTGGAGGGATTGACGCAGAGGCGGAGGGAATGATTTGGAGGTGGAGGGATTGACAGTTAGGTGGGGGGGATTAACACCCAGGTGGAGGGATTGATGGCGAGCCAAGGTGCAGGGATTGATGCCTGAGGGCGAGGTGGAGAGATTGAAGGTGAGGTGGAGGAATTGAGGGAAGCTGGAGGGACTGACGCTGACGTGGAGGGATTGATAATTAGGTGGAGGGATGGACACCCAGATGGAGGGATTGATGCCCAGATGGAGGGATTGATGCCCAGGTGGAGGGATTGATGTTGAGGTGGAGGGTTTGACAATTAGGTGGAGGGATTGATGTCGAGGTGGAGGGTTTGACAATTAGGTGGAGGGATTGATGTGCGAGGTGGAGGGAATGATTTGGAGGTGGAGGGATTGACAGTTAGGTGGGGGGATTGACGGCGAGCCAAGGTGCAGAGATTGACGCCTGAGGGCGAGGTGGAGAGATTGAAGGCGAGGTGGAGGAATTGAGGGAAGCTGGAGGGACTGACGCTGAGGTGGAGGGATTGATAATTAGGTGGAGGGATGGACACCCAGAGGGAGGGATTGACGCCCAGATGGAGGGATTGATGCCCAGGTGGAGGGATGATGCCCAGGTGGAGGGATTGATGGCCAGGTGGAGGAGTTGACAATTAGGTGGAGGGATTGATGATGCGTTGGAGGGTTTGACAATTAGGTGGAGGGATTGAAGTCGAGGTGGAGGGATTGATGTCGAGTTGGAGAGATTGATGTCGAGTTGAAGGGATTGATGTCGAGTTGGAGGGATTGATGTCGAGTTGGAGGGATTGATGTCGAGTTGGAGGGATTGACGCAGAGGCAGAGGGATTGACAGTGAGGTGGAGGATTACGGCGAAATGGAGGGATTCCAGCCCAGATTGAGGGATTAATGATGAACTCCAGATGTAAATTAATGAAATGGGATTAAAAGGTGGACTAGAAATCCAAAGAGGTCCAGAGATTCAGCAGATGGTTCTGGGAAAGGCGGTCCCTGGAGGAACCCGTACCTGGCCTCCTTGCTGTGGTCCGTGATCACTCGGTCGTCTCGGCCCAAGTTCCTGGAGGAGATCCTGGCCAGCTCCATGGACAGTTCCTGGAGGAGTCCCTGGTGTCCAGATGTCTGGAAGCGGACTCTGTGACGGGAGTAACCTGCCAGCTGCTCATCGGCCCCGATCCCAGACAGGATGACCTGCAGGGGCCAGAAACCAGCGCCAGGGTCAGAACAGCAGCCTCAGTCATTAGAACTGGTCCTCTGATCACATCACCGCCATTTAAAGCGTTTCCTCAACCCATCTCTGTTCATTCTATTCTATTCAGTTTATTTCTATAGCTCCAATTCACATCATGTCATCTCAGGTCACTTTCCAG